CCAGACAGGCCCTATATCCCAGTGTCTGATCCCAGGTTTTCTGCTTTAAACTGGATCATGAGTCCACACTGCCAGATAATCAGAAAACCTGGGATCAGATCCTGGGATATAGGGCCTGTCTGGAAGGGCCCTGGGTGAATCCACACTGCCATATGTTGTTGTTATTCATTCGTTCAGTCATCCCGTTTGGGTATCAGCCAGCACGTCAACGACTTAAGACATAGTTTTCTTAGATCTACAGAGACACTCGCTGGAACACCCCAGCAAGCGAGAGTCCAAAAGTGGCAGGCCCAAACCCAGCACCTCAATTCATGGGTGATACCAGATGAGAGACTCCCCCCTGGGCACTCAGAAGACTGGGCGACTTGGAAGGCACTGAACAGACTGCGCTCTGGCACCACGAGATGCAGAGCCAATCTTAAGAAATGGGACTACAAAGTGGAATCCACGACATGCGAGTGTGGAGAAGAGCAAACCACTGACCACCTGCTGCAATGCAACCTGAGCCCTGCCACATGCACAATGGAGGACTTCTTGCGGCAACACCAGAGGCACTCCAAGTGGCCAGATACTGGTCAAAGGACATTTAACCAACTACCAAATTTGCAAAATCTGTGGTTTTTTTTTCATTTTCTTTTTAATCTGTGTGTTTGTTTTGCTCTGTTAGAATTGTAATACAATGGTTGCTGATGACACGATAAATAAATAGTCGTCTCCAACTCTTCGTGACCTCATGGACCAGCCCACGCCAGAGCTCCCTGTCGGCCATCACCACCCCCAGCTCCTTCAAGGTCAGTCCAGTCACTTCAAGGATGCCATCCATCCATCTTGCCCTTGGTCGGCCCCTCTTCCTTTTTCCTTCCACTTTCCCCAGCATAATTGTCTTCTCTAGGCTTTCCTGTCTCCTCATGATGTGGCCAAAGTACTTCAACTTTGTCTCTAGTATCCTTCCCTCCAATGAGCAGTCGGGCTTTATTTCCTGGAGGATGGACTGGTTGGATCTTCTCGCAGTCCAAGGCACTCTCAGCACTTTCCTCCATCACCACAGTTCAAAAGCATCTATCTTCCTTCGCTCAGCCTTCCCTAAGGTCCAGCTCTCACGTCCGTAGGTTACTACAGGGAATACCATGGCTTTGACTATGCGGATCTTTGTTGCCAGTGTGATGTCTCTACTCTACTCTAGGTGCAAAGATTACTGCAGATGCAGACTGTAGCCAGGAAATCAGAAGACGCTTACTTCTTGGGAGGAGAGCAATGTCCAATGTCCACTGCCATATACAAGGGATATTTTTTAAGTAAGGTCCGTTGGAACATAACTACACAACGAAAGTTTATTTCAAAAAAGTAAATTTATTTTCAGAAAGTACATACTTCACTCTATTTTTCGACATAGTTGCCAAGTTTGTTCAAACACTTATCATACCTCTGAACCAATTTTAAAATACCCTCTTCATAAATCCTCACTTCAACTGAAGCCACCAAATCGTCTGTAATCAAAGAAGGGCGACTGGAGCGGTCCTCATCATGGACGTTGTCACGGCCATCTTTGAATTGTCGTACCCACTTACGCACTTTGCTTTCACTCATAACAGTATCACCGTACACTTCACAAATCTGTCGATGAATTTCTGCAGCAGGCAGGTTCCTTGCTGACAAAAACCGTATCACTGAGCAAACCTCAAATGCAGAGGGTGAGTTGATAGTCTTAAACATTTTTAAAGCATAGAACAGAACCGTACAGGTTAGCTACAGAGCACAGTTGTTCCTGAGGCATGCCGGTACACGACACACGTGCTCGTTGCAATATGCGCGCGAACTACTAGTGTCTACAACAAAACGGACCTTACTTTAAAAATACCCCTCGTAGAATCATAGAGTTGGAAGAGACCTCATGGGCCATCCAGCCCAACCCCCTGCCAAAAACCAGGAAAATTGCATTCAAAGCAATTTTCACCTATTTAGGAAGAACATTGCTCCCTTGGGAGTCACAAACACACACTCCATTACCAGAAAAGTAGTGCAAGAAGGAGGTTTGGATCCACAGTTGTCACATCATATTGGATACATTTTGTCAGCAGTATTCAGATTTAAAGTTCCTTTGTTGCAGAAAGCGCAATTTTTGGAATGATACAGTAACAAACATGGCTCATTCGGCCATAAAAGTGGTGAAGAGCTACCTCACAAACTCTGGCTTTCACAACTCTAAGAAATTTATCTATGTCCTCAAAGGGGAGTGAGAAGAAGTGGTTGATGTTGACTATGATAATTTGGACCGTATTTTAAAGGGCTGCAGCCACATTGTACTAAAGGTGAGCAGTCCTTATCATTAAAGAATTTTACAGAGCCAGAAGGGATCACAACAACCATCCAGTCTCACTCTCTGCCATGCAGGCCTACAGAACTAAAGCACTATTGAAGGATGGCCATCCAGTCTCTGTTTAAAGGTCTTCAAAGATGTGAGTCTAGTGCACAATTTTGCAAAGGCTTCAGAGCAAGCACATCTTAGTTTATTTCTTGGGATTTCACCCTAAATAAATACTTCACCAGGATAGCACAGTTCTTGTAATTCAGTGGTGGGAATGGGGGGGTCATACTTATTTGAGGTCATTACACTTGCTGCTGGATCTATGGAATGCTTGGTCAAACTATTGGGGTTTTCTCAGTACAAGTGCTCAGTCCATATGCTTACAATTTCCTGGTTCCCAGAGTGGCGTTGGAGGCCATATCAGCATTATGCGTTTCTACCAGTACATTAACAGTCCACTTTACTACCACTTAAATCCCCACAACATTCTGGAAATTAAGTGGATTGCCTATTAACATATTTCAATGGCCCAGAACAAGTTGAGTTACTATTATGGAGGCTGGAGAGTCCAGAAACGGAGACCTCTTAGCTTGTGCAACTGAGAATGACAAATAAGTTTCTTTTGTATACCTCTGTTTATTGTAATGCATATTTTAAAGAAAGCATTTATGTGCAAAATATATATCTTACACAACAGTGATAGAAATTGCTACTTGTTTCACATACTGAAATGATTAAACAAGAAAATATATGATAGTTACCTTTGCCCTACAAATGCTACTAAGATCATGATTACTTTAATAAGGCATGACTTCTATAAGCTTTGCCTACTATTGCAGTGACTGTCAGCTCTAATACCAAGGGTCAAAATCTACACAGGTTTGCACAACTGGTGTGAAGTCAGCAACTCAGCATGGACTATAACATCCTTACTAAGCGGTATAATTATCAGAGTCATAAAGTTTTCATATTTATGTATCAAGAAGTGATTGAATTCAATAATACCAGTATTTTAAAAACCTGATATTGTTATGCATGGTTTCTGATACAAAAATATACATTTACGAGTATAACTTGACTGGTATATGTAAGAATTCCTCTTAAGCCCAGAGATAAGATGTCTCATGAGAAGTCGTATATTACATTTCTATCAAAAAGATGTTGATCATTAACCACAAGCTGAGGCTTAGATAAATAATTGTTTCTTACAAAAAACGCCACCCTGGTTGCTTCAAGATAAGTAATATTTTAACAGAACATGTTTATTAGTGTAACTCAATTAAGTTTGGATCAGTACTTTGGGATCATTAAGCATGTAGGGAAAGCTACAGCTGCCAAATAAAGTGACATGGATGGGACTAAGAGCTGGGAAGGTGATATTTGAGGCCTAAGTAAGGTTCAGGCTACTAAAACGCTAAGTAGAATGACAGTCCAAAACTGGAAAAGGTGGAGGGGACTTTAAGCATTAATATTTATATATTCAAGAGGAAGGATATAAAGAAGACATTTTGAATGCAGTAAATTTCAGTTCTTGCATCGGGGTCTTTCTGTTTTGGGAAATTATCTGTGGAAGTCCTTGAAAGTCCCTCTAACCTTTTACATTTTACAAAGCTTTATGATAGAAAGCTTGGATGGAAAACTTGAGGGTTGTGTACTTGCTGAGAACCCGGACTGAATCAAAAACCAAATTTAAAAATCTAGTTACAGGGAAGGGGATGGAGTGATGAAGGGATGAGAAGTAGTGCTGAATCTACACGGAGAACTAGTTTTAACTCAGCCCATTTCCTGTTATAATAAAGGAAGTCTGTTTTACTATCTTGGTCAAGGAATGTTACTTCTAAAACAAAAGGGGTTAAAAGCAATTTATGTACAAACCAGCGTAGAGAGAGGAAGTTCAATGTGGGAATGTTTCTTGGACATCCCTGCCCTTGGGGGACACTGGTGTGGATGTTGACTAGTTGTTTACCTCCTAAGGGCAGGACTACCTTGGGTAATGTTCCTTGGGCATCTCTATCATTCGGAAGTGGCGGTGCAATGGTGATGACGTGTCCACTACTACTCATCTGAGGATGGGCAGCCTTGGGAACAATCCCTAGGTGTTCTGGTCTCCAGGAGGCAGCAACATGGGGAGGATCTCTTGCTTCCTGTCCGTCTTCAAAGGATGGGGTGCCTTGGGAATATTTTCTGTTCTGGAAGGCAACAGCAAAGAGTGGAGGAATTCTCCCCCACCCTGACCTGCAAAGGATGGAGCTGCCATATGAATGTTTACACAACAGCCCCATCCTTGGGAGCCAGGTGCAATGTTATGTCCTACGGATGGAGCTGCCATTCACATTGCAGGCCCAACTTTAGGAGACGAGTGTTGCTGTGCAAGTCTGTTTTACTATCTTGGTCAAGGAATTTTACTTCTAAAACAAAAGGGGTTTTAGAAGTAATGATCAAAACTCTGAAATTACAACCTACTAGTGTGGAGGGCTAACTGTATATCTCCAGCCTCTCCCTCCTTTTATTACCAGATCTAGTTCTAATTTCCTGAAGCAACATCAAATCTGAAACTGCCATTCAGCCCGGAAGAGAAAATCTTGGAGTGAATGGCATTAATCTGTCTCAGAAAAAAAAAGTATTTGGGCTGTGCCAGGAGGAAGGGAGAGTGAAAGATTGTCAACAGGACCACAAAAAAAAAAATAAAAAAAAAATGGGCAAAATAAATTTAAAACACTTCTCCTATTGAACTGTGGTTATAATCCTGCCAAACACCCAGCTGCTACTTAAAAATATGGGTAAGATAAAGATAAAGTTACATATTTACATGCTTATGGTCTAGTTTAGTCTTGGAAAAAATAATCTTGTCTCTGCTGAGGCTGAAGCACTCATACGACTATGTGACTGGATGCAAACCTAAAGAACACTTGTGAATATACCTCCCTTCAAACTTTATATAAAAAAATCAAGTATCATGGAAATGGCTCCAAAGATGATCACAAAGATACTTCGATTCTGTCAAGCTATTATTGTTTTAGCAATTGTTCTACAGAATCCTTTCCCTGAGACCAGATGCAATATGGAAATGACATTGATGAAGCAGCTCCAACTTCTCCCTAATATCAGACATCCAGGGGAAAAAGACAAATGAATTGATTATAAATTATTAAAAATATTTAATTGCCAGTGGCTCAATTATTACTGCAGCAAATCCAGCCTTATCCCTTCTTTAGAGAAAGAAGCGAGTGCTAGGATTTATCTACTACAGTCAGCCCTCCACTATTGTGAGGTTCAGGGAGCAGGACCAACGTGAAAATGAAAAACTGAGTATCTCTAGGCCCCCAAACTGTATTTAACGCACACTAAATAGCACCTGTACTGGCAGAATGGCTAGGCCCAGCTTTATGTGTATTCTCTCTCATGTTCACTCACTTGTTCAGATTGAGTGGGTGCGATGAGGGGAGTTGGAGGAGGGCAATGAGCAGTGCGCAACTTCCCAGAAACAGACCCTCTCCCTTGTGCTCCCCCATCCCATCCCATCCCCCACCCACCTGAATGAGTAATGTATGTATGCATCACACACTCCCCTGCCTTGTCCTCTTTCTGTCTGCATTAGTGAGTGAGTGAAGAGCACAAGGGAACATGTAGATGTCTCATTCCTCCACACTCTCCCCATCCCATCCCCTCAAGTGAATGAGGGGACGCATGTGTACACCCTCCCTCCTTATACTCCCCTCAATCCCATCTCTTCCCGTTCCCCTAAGTAAGTGAAGGAATGCATGAACGCACATTCTCCCTCCACTCTCCTGTTCCATTCTCTACCCCCCACATCACCTGAGTGAAAGAGTGAATGTGCAAGGGAATGCATGTCCACATTCTGCCTCTTCATGCCCTCCCCATTCAATATCTTTCTCCCTCACTCCCTCAGGTGAGAAAGCAAATGAGTGAGGGAATGTACATGCAGCTGGGCCGAGCCACCTTGTCAGTTTGATTTCCTCACAGAAACCAACGATCTGACTGCTAACTAAACTTAAATTAATTGAACACAGATCAGGAGGAAAACTGGTATTATCAAAGTCCCTATTAGAGGAAGGGGCAAATAGTCCACAGGTAACAAAATCTAATTACTATAATCATAATTAATCAGGAAAATATGAAAATATGTTTGTGCTGTACCTTCATATTCATTGCAATTATTCCAAGTTCAAACATATTTTTCTTTCCTAGTCGCTGGAGGATATCCTGGACAACATTCTGGCATGCATCCATAGGAGACAGACCCTGAAAGGGAAACACAAAATCCAAACCAAGTTTACACTTTTCTGTTCCAACTCGTTGAATCCAGATTTACGCAAACCATACTTAACTCAGATCCACTGCAGGTCATGCAACTAGTTAGCCGTGATTAAATTAAATCTTTTCATTTCAATGTGTCCATAGTTGAACATGTCCAACTACAGGTTTCTATAAAAGTTCAGGAGAGAATGCTTCTGGAACATGGCCATACAGCCTGGAAAACTCACAGTTCTAATTCATTCATCCTTAATGCTGTGTAAATAAACGAAAATCAGATGCATGTTGCTCCTTTTGTTTATATCAATATAGATAAGTATAAAAGACATCAAAATATGATTGGGATTATGTAGCATGAGTAACATGTTCTGGGAAAATGTTATCTAGGTAAAGGTTTCCCCTTGATGTTAACTCTAGTCGTGTCTGACTCTGGGGTGTGGTGCTCATCTCCATTTCTAAGCCGAAGAGCCATGTTGTCCATAGACACCTCCAAGGTCATGACTGCATGGAGCGCCATTACCTTCCCACCAAAGTGGTACTTAATGATCTACTCATATTTGCTAGGTTGGCAGAAGCTGGGGCCAACAGTGAGAGCTCACCTCACTCCCTGGATTTGAGCCATTGACCTTTTGGTCAACAAGTATAGCAGCTCAGCAGTTTAACCCATTGTGCCACCTGGGGCTCTACCCCTCAAGTGAATGAGGATTTAGACAATATAATGAATTACAGTATATTCTGGCGTATAAGACTACTTTTTAACCCAAGAAAATCTTCTCAAAAGTCAGGGTCGTCTTATACGTGGGTGTAGTTTTATGCATGGGAGTCGTCTTAACTCTATATTTTAACTGGAAAAGTTGGGGGTCGTCTTATACGCCCAGTCGTCTTATATGCCGGAATATACGGGTAATTTCATATGTCAACATTGTTTTTATGGTTTACTGGCACATGTCAAATCTTTACTTCAAACCCCTACAGTGAATTACAACTGTAGCCAATTCAATTTTGTTCAATTGTTTAAATCTTTAATTTCAGGGGAGTATTGTGGGTTCCCATTTGTAGATGACTGGTTTGTAGTCTAATAGTTAGTCATCTCATCTATTCATATGCATTTTTATAATATAAATGCATGTATAGATGTTAACTTGCTTTAAGTCCTACTTGTTTCACTGCTTTACTGTCCTCTGCTTGAGTTCTGTATACACAGTAAACAGGTCTTAAGTATAAATGCAAACATTCTAGACAAGCCTAAGCACGGATAAAGAAGCTCTCTCCGTAGCCTGAAATGCCCACTGAAGCTGAGAGAACAATCTCTGACAGTGCAGACCCAGGGACTACCTTAGGCACTTTGAATCTCAGTCCTCTTATCTTGAATTCTTCAATTTTGCTTCAAGCTAGCTAGCTCAACATTCACTCACCAGAAATTAGAAAACATACCTGTTTCATTAATAGGACTACATGAAAAGTGGGACTGAAGCACATGATCATGTCTCCATCACCAGTAGCTGACAAGAAGAAGAGAGAGAAATGTTTTTATGAAACTCAGTGTGAAACTCTGTTGTTGCTATGGATAAGGGAACAAGGTTGCAAAACACCATACATATAACATTCTAATATCATATTTTCGGAGTAAAAATCAGTGGGGGTTTAAGTGGGGTATACAAACAAAAAAAAACAGTACTGGTTTTCAATTACTTTTCAACATCTAACTCAGAAAAGATTAAGCTGAATTCAAATCACTGTTTTGTGTCATATTTAGAGATGCAAATACACATTGGATGTGCATGTGAAAACACATCATTATCCACACTGCATTACTTTGAAGTCATAAATATGAATGTTTATCCTTACTATATCTGAATATTGTTAAAAGTAATCATGGCTTTTGCATTCAGGTGTATGTTTAATTTACAGTAGCAGATCCTAACTCTCATGTGAACATCTTGCAACCAGGGCAATCACATTTTGATAATACTCTTAATAAAATGTTAGATTTCCTTACTAGGAAATGGCAGCAATAGTGGTGACTCTTTGTAGCATCCCACAAAAGGAGTTTTATTTTATGTTCTCACAAGACTAAGCTCTCAACATTTTCTAGAAGCAGATGGCAAGAAAAAGGGAAGTGGCAGCCAGGGGCAATTGGCCCCAGAGGTGGTTATTGGTGCTTTCCTCTCTCTGCGGAATGACAGACTCATAGAATTGGAAGAGACCTTGTGGGTCATCCAATCCAACTCTCTGCCAAGAAGCAGAAAAATTGCATTCAAAGCACCCCGACAGATGGCCATCCAGCCTCTGTTAAAAGCTTCCAAAGGAGCCTCCACACACTCAGGCAGAGAGTTCCACTGCTGAACAGTCCTCACAGTTAGGAAATTCTTCCTATGTTCAGGTGGAATCTCCTTTCCTGCAGTTTGAAGCCATTGTTTCCGTGTCCTCCCCGGCAGCAGAAAACAAGCTTGCTCCCTCCTCCCTATGACTTCCCCTCACATATTTATACACGGCCATCATGTCTTCTCTCAGCCTTCTCTTCTTCAGGTTAAACATGCCCAGCTCTTTAAGCCACTCCTCATAGGGCTTGTTCTCCAGAACCTTGATCATTTTAGCCGCCCTTCTCTGGACACATTCCAGCTTGTCAACATCTCCCTTCAATTGTGGTGCCCACAATTGGACATAGTATTCCAGAGGTGGTCTAACCAAGTCAGAACAGAGGGGTAGCATGACTTCCCTGGATCTAGACACTATACTCCTATTTATGCAGGCAAAAATCCCATTGGGTTTTTTTGCCGACGCATCACATTGTTGGCTCATGTCTAACTTGTTGTCCACGAGGACTCCAAGATCTTTTTCACACGTACTGCTCTCGAGCCAGGCGTCACCATTCTGTATCTTTCCATTTCATTTTTTCTGCCAAAGTGGAGTATCTTGCATTTGTCACTGTTGAACTTCATTTTGTTAGTTTTGCCCATCTCTCTAATCTGTCAAGATCGTTTTGAATTCTGCTCCTGTCTTCTGGAGTATTAGCTATCCCTCCCAATTTGGTGTTGTCTACAAACTCGATGATAATGCCTTCTAACCCTTTATCTAAGTCAGGTGTCCTCAAACTGCAGCCCTCCAGCTGTTTGGGCCTCCAACTCCCAGAAACCCTAACAAGCTTGTTCAATTGTCAGGAATTCTGGGAGTTGAAGGCCCAAACAGCTGGAGGGCCACAGTTTGAGGATGCCTGATCTAAGTCATTAATAAGGATGCTGAACAGGACCGGGCCCAGGACGGAACCCTGCAACACTTGATCCTTGATTTATCCCTGGGTCACACCAAAATCTACAATTTTGATCCCCAAACCTGCCCTTGCTTCATACATGAGGTCAATTTATTCATGAGAATATATGGTACTTAAGCAACTGATGTACCCCACTGAAGGGTTCTGAATCTAAGTTTTACAATTAAAGCAAAGCGCAATAACTACCAAGTGGGTGATATCAGAATGTGTTTCTAGCTAACTGATATGCAGTAACCAAGTACACAGTTTAGAGGACACACATTCTGCTAGCTGAGATATACATTCTGAAAAGCATTGTGTTGGCAAGCAACCTTTTTAAGAACAATGCCTCATTGGGCAACATGTCAATGATTCTGACATCTTTAAATTGAAAGGTCAGTGCAAGATATACAGGCATGCATATGGACAGAATCATATTGAAAGTTAAGACAGAATTAACTAGAACTGTGTTGCTTCTGAATCTAATAAGCAATTAATACAGCTAGCCATACACCATGTTGTTGTTAATTGTCTCCAAAGTGACTTCGCCTTATGACTGTTCTCTGAATGAGACCTCCAAGTTACCCTATCCTTAACAGCCGCACTCATCTCTTAGAGACTCAGGGCTGTGGGTTTTCTGAATGAGTCTATCCGTATGGAATGTGATCTTCTCTTTTCCTCTTTTCCTACTGCGCTCTATGTTATCAAGCGTAATTGTCT